AGCTATATTAGTATGTGTGAAGAACTAGTAAACTGTTTTACATATATTAATATCTTAATTTTAACAGACATCCTGTAGGAAGAGGCCATAATATAATACTCACTTCACAGACAAGAATGCTGAGGCAGGGAGTAATGTCCACTGGTGTTAAGTGGCAGAGCTGAGATGGAACCCAGAAACCTGACTCCAGAGTCTACATGGCTGACAATGGTGACATTTGAATGAGACCTATTGTTTTTATTAACCAATTAGCATATATCAGATTATTTGACTACTAAGTTAAATCTTCATTTCAGTACATTTTAATGATTACTGCATTATATATTGAAAAAACTGACAGTGAAATACATGATCTTGAGATTTTAGTCAATAGTTTCAGTTTTTAAATACTTTTTCTATCCTACTAATATATCCTTGATGTCCCTGTACTATATCCAGATGCTCAAATCATCTCCACATGAGCTTCCACATTTCTTTCCAACATCCCAAAATACTTTCTTCAAAGGTCCTTCTGACTCCTCACAAAAATGCCCCCTGTCTATGGAGACATGCTAGCCTTAAATCACCTTTCCTTCTATAGAGTTCACATTAATCAATGTTAGTCCATTTTTCTGAGTGTATTAGGATTTATTGCCTCTCCTTTATAATTGATTTAAATTGCTATTAAAACTTGAGATAATGATTTGACGTTTCATAACTTTGGTTTTTTTACTTTTTAAATTTTCAGTGGGACTCTAAGCTCCTTGAGGGCAAAGGCCTATTATTGAGCATGAAACGAGAAGCATGAGTTAATTGCATGAATGTATTACAGCCACAACCCTCATAAAGATAAAAATGATCCTTTCTAAGATTCATGAGAGATACAATCATTGAAAATACTAAAATAAGGACTGCCGCACAAGCCTGAAACCTGTGTTTGAGCCCTGGAACCCACAGTGGGAGAAGAGAACCAACTCCCCAAGTTGTGCTCTGGCCTCCCTATGCATGCTGTGGCACACAAGAGCCTCTTCCCACAGTTTTACATGAGAGAGAGAGAGAGAGAGAGAGAGAGAGAGAGAGAGAGAGAGTGAGAGAGAGAGAGAGAGAGAGAGAGAGAGAAGAGAAGAGAAGAGAAGAGAAGAGAAGAGAAGAGAAGAGAAGAGAAGAGAAGAGAAGAGAAGAGGAGATGAGAAAAGAGATGCCTCAGTGGTTAAATGCTTGTTCTGCAAGCTTGAGGACCAGAGTTTGAATTCCCAGAACCCACACAAATGCAGGATAGGCATGGTGTTCTTACTATAATTTCAGTGCTCAGAAGACAGAGACAGGGAATCACCAGAGCAAGCTGGTTAGCCAGACTAACCATATTGGTGTGTTCTGGGTTCAAGTGTCTCTGCTTCAATGAATCAAGTGGAGTGTGGTCAAGGAAGACTCCAGACACCAACCTTGGGTGCCCACATATATGGGCACGCAAGTGCATGTGCAACTGTGCATACATGAGGACACACATAGACACGTGCATGCACAGCACATACACACATACATGAGAAAAACCGTTAAGATGAGTAGGTTTGATTAAAGATCAATAGAGTAGGCTGCTCAATCTTGGCTTCTCCCATTGTTTTTCTCTGCTTTCCTAATTCATCAACAACATATTAAACATTTTTTAATCATCATGGTTTATACCTAGGCATGTGTAACGCATCGTCCAACACAATCCAGTTGGATTTTTATCTTATATCTATCTATAAAATCTAACTAGTAAGCTTGGGAATTGTGTGCTAAATACTACGATGGTCCTGATTCTGTAGGAGTTTAGAGGATGCTGGAGTGCCTATCCAATGGGGATTTAAGATGGACCAGGGAGTTTTTGTATCATGGAGACAAAGAGAGGAGGGGGGATTTCAGACAGAGAAATGTGCATGTGGAAAGTTGAGAAGACAACAGCATGTTCACAGGGGAATGTAGAAACAGTGGCTACTCCTTATACTAGAGTCTAGAAAAGCATAAATCTTGTGAAAAAAAAAATACCAGTTTTGCAGGCATTGGGAGCCCGTAAAGGATTTTGAACCTGATGGTGATTTTGAGAGAAGGCTGATTTGGCGGAATTAACACAGAAGCTATGAGAGAGATTAGAGGCAGTTATTCAATAAGCAATTATTAGAAAATTTAGATTCTGAATATTTTGAATTTGAAGCTCCTTCCCTAAATTTATAATTCAAAACAAAGTTATTATGTTTAAAAATAAAGGGAAAAGATTGAATTAAATGCAATTCTACCAAGTGTCAAGGTGTATTTTGGGGCTAGAACTACAATAAAAGACATAGTTTCATGAAATTGACCAAAGATTTAGATTTTCTATTCAACATGTCATCTTAGATATTAAAGAATTCTTTTATATTTATATAAAGCACATTAGTATGCTACTAAATAACTCCTAGCTGTACTGCCATATTTGACACCAGTCAACCATCAAAGCAAGTAATATCAGTAAACACGAAAATTATGTTGTGTGATTGGTTGATAAACTTTATTATTTTGTTGCTGGATTTATCATTAAGCTGACTCATAGTGTCTTCACATTATTTAATAGATTTGATATGTTTTCAAAGATACTGACATTTCTGTTTTGAGTGACTTTTATTGTTTATTTACATTTGGGAAGGAACTGAAGAGTCTCACTAAGAGATGGCTGTTCACTACCATTAGGTGCCGTGGTATATGGCAATAAGTTATCATCAGAGTCCAAAGTGAGAAAGGATATTCATAAAATCTAAAACTCTAAATCTAGCTCACATGCTCAAGATATTGCCTTAGACGTGATAACTGCAGGGTAACATTGAACAAAACCAGCAAATTAACTGGTTTGGAAACAAGTTCTGAAGTTTCTAAAATATTGCAGAACTTTTTGCATACCACTTAAAGTATAAATCTTCTATAATTCATCAACAGTTGACATAGAAACCCCATTTTCTCTTAATGGGAGGGATGCTGTTCTATGACTAGAAATTTATGAACATGTTCAGTCATGTATTTATCCGGTGAGTATTCGTTGAGTGCCTAAATAACTGGCTGGTAAATGATAAGGTTTAAAAAAGTGATAAATTAGCTGGGCGTGGTGGCACATGCCTTTAATCCCAGCACTTGGGAGGCAGAGGCAGGCAGATCTTTATGAGTTTGAGGCCAGCCTGGTCTATATAATGAGTTCCAGGACAGCTGGAGCTACAGGGAGACCCTGTCTCAAAAAGACCAAAAAACGTGGTAAATTAGGAAAAAGAGCTATTATGAGGATAACATACTAATGATGGTAGGTAGGAAGGTGTTGCTCTAAGTGCTTATGGTGGAGATTCAGTGACTGCTTATATAGGTTCCTGTGAGAGAATAAAAATCCCTCACCTCCTCTACCTCAAGGCCAGACCAGATTGAGGATCCCACAGACTTTTCAGTGTGGATGCATATCTGAATGAAATGTAACCCTTCAAAGTATATTAGGAGATCAAAGCAGTTGCCAAAGTCTATGACCACATAAAAAACCAGGCATGGTGGCATGTATATGCAACCCCAGCACCAATGAGATGGGAAAGGAAGATTTCCAGGGCTTGTTGGCTAGCTAGCCTAGCCAATCAGGGAGCACCATTCCCCAGAAAGAGACTCTTTCTCAAAACCCTACATGGTTGGTTCCTGAAGAGAAACACCTGAAATTGATCTCTGGTCTCCACACACACATATGTGCACATACATACTTACATGCCACACACATACAAACACACAAACACATACACACACATGCACACACAACCACAAATATGTATGTGTGCATGTGTGAAGAGTCACTGGTTTCAAAATGGTGGAGACATGGGTGAAGGTTTTGAGCCTTGACAGTGCTTGTTCTACCTGTACAGTAGCTTGAACCAAGGAAATTGTACAGTTAAATCTGTGTGTGTACAGCTAAATCTCATTCTCTGTCTCTCTATCTCTATCTCTGTGTGTATATGTGATACACATTCATGTGTTTCCTTTAGATAGTGCTATGTTCTTTGACTAGGCAGAACAAAATGAATGTAGTCTGGTGAAGAGGTAGTATCATTGGTAAAGAACCACCATAGAGAGTTTGTAGGTTAGTGGCATTTTTGCTTTAAATATAATATTTTTATAACATTTCAGAATTTAGTTACAGCAAACCCCTTCTACTAATTTAATTTACTCTTATCACTCTATTTTTCTTTTCTGTTTCCAACTCATAGAACCTTGCCATGCAAAAGCACTATGCAAGTCACAAAGGTGACTGCCCAAGATAGAGGATTCAGTTAGTAAAAGGAGGCATCAATCAGCAGTGGCAACACAAGCCACAATTTATCTTAGTAATATATTTTTCGTATTATTACATCTTTTGTGTGTGTGTGTGTGTGTGTGTGTGTGTGTATGTGTACACTCAAAGTGTGCACGTGGACATCAGAGGGCAACCTGAGGGAATGTGTCCTCTCCTTCTATCATGTGTGTTCTGGAGACTGAATTCAGATCTCAGGCTTGGTGGCAGGTGCCTTTTGCCACTCAGCTGTCTTGTTTGTCCTAATTTAGTAATTTCTGTCCTATTTCTAACTTACTATTATGCAGATTCTAAATCCAAAGTTATTTGGGAACCTAAATTATCTAGGTAATTATTTTGATATTCCACTGTATTTACGCAAACACTGCACTAAGTGAAACTAAGAAAACAAACAGAAAGAATGTAAAGAACATTTGTATTGCCCAAACGAGTACTGGATAAGCACATCTGGCAAACTCCTCTTAGCACTGTATGTCCATGGGGCATACACAAGCGAGGAAAGCACAGTCCCAAACGTCTGCATTATAAAGCACTTTTGTTTCAAAATTAGGAATTTAAAAGTGTTTTTTTAACACCTTTGAAAGTATAGACAAATGTGTAGATGAATTATAATCAAATATAAAGTGAATATTCTCTTTAACTGAAGTTATTCTTTATACTTTGAAGTAATTCAAGAAAAGAATTTTAAAAGACCATATCACTATTATAATAAAAATATTTATTATAAAAGTTCTCATATTTTTCTGCACATAACCTAAAGACAAAAACACAACTCATACATTAATAATTTAAGTGGGCCTGAGCATTCAGTATCTATCTATCATAGTCTAAAGTCTTCAAGTTTTCATAAATAACAGGAAAGATTATTCCTATTTAATTTACACGGTTGGTGCAATTGAAACACTAACATGTTTTCTCTATTATTTTAAATATAGTTCACAGTGTTTGAGTTAATTAATCAACTGCTTTAGATCTTTGGTAAACACAAATATTTACATGCACAAATATTTAGCTGAAATTTCAATGAAAAATCGCTACAACAAATAAACTATTGCTAACAGTTTAGTGTGACCAGTAAAAGCAACAGTCAAAGTCCTGTCATCAAAGTCACTGTCCAGGACTTCTGAAGACAACAAAATCTGAACTCCAAAACAAATAGTTGAGGTTTCTGTTGCCACAACCAAAGATCACAGCACTAGATCGTCACAAAATTCAAAACAAACTTCAAACTCAACAAATACACAGGACTGATCTTTTTTTTTTTAATGTTGAAAATTCTAATTTTTTTCTCCATGTCAGTTTCAAGATTTATTTGACACCAATGAATTTATTATTTAATAAAGCCCATTGTTGCATAAGAGAGACATATTTAAGGAAGTCATACTGCCTTGAAAGATACCAATTCATCCTTCCAATAATTTATCCATGGAAAACAGATCATTTCTTGGAATAGCTTGTTGGGGAAAAGGTGCCTGCTTTCTGCTTCCTCCCTCTCTCCATTCCTTCCTTCCTTGTTTTCTAAGAGTAGTTTGCGTGAATGACCTGTCCACCTGCAAATTGCACCTTCATCCTCCCACATACCATGAGCATCACAGCTTACAGTCCCTGGATCCCTGTCTCTGATATTCTCAACTGGCAAGAGAACCTCTTACTTCCAGGCTATGCCATAGAAAGACAAAATATTCTCCAAGAAGGATTTAAGTTTTAATGTTCTTGATCCAATTGACAACTAGAATTTTTTAAAAAAATGTTTTATTTATTATTTTTATTTTATGTGTATGAGTGTATTGCCTGCATGTAGGTAAGTGCACCGATGTCGTGCAATGTCCACAGAGGACAGAGGAGGCCATCAGATCCCCTGGAACTGGAGTTATGGACAGTTGTTAGCTGTCATGTGGGTGCTGGGATTCGAACCCAGGTCTTCTGCAAGAACAACTAGTGTTCTTAACCACTGAGCCATCTCTCCAGCCCTAGAATATTTTTTTTAAAAACAGATATTTTGATGTTGGAGTGTAGAGAATATACTTAAACACATCAAAAATATACCTTAAAAAGCCTAGAAAATGGATGCCTTTGTATTTTTCACCACATCTGGTTAGAGAATAGTCCTTCCCTTCCAGTTAGGTTCTGAATATGTGATTTCTTTGTCTAACATAGGTTTTTCGACATACAGTTTTGGGGTCACTTTGACAGTTCTTCTCCCTCTCTAACCCTGACTTCCTGTGTTCAGTGCATATTTACCAATTCACCCAAGACTAGGCACTATTGAGTGCAGCCCAAATGGGAAAGCAGCATGACACTGGAGCTGCATCAACTGATAGGCTGTCTTCTGAGTTTGTACACAGCCCCAGTGCCTGGACGCCAAGTGTTCTGGCTCGTTCCTCTATTCTGTCCTCTCTTGAATATATAAACACACATGAAATGTACATTTATATATATTTCTAATGACATAGTGCAAATTAAGCTCTAACATTTTCATGGCAGGAAAACGCTGATGTCTTAATAATTAATAGTTGTTAAATAGCAATACGTTTATATGGCAACAAGAGCTCTAAATATCAGCCCTTTGGAACTGCCAATCTGTCTTTCTTGTACTTGTTGATAAAGAGACGTAAAATGGAGGCTGGATTCTTTTCAGGATTTAGCATAATCATGAGCTACTTTGCATTATCAATCAAGGACCAGGCACCTTCTGCCTACTGGAGTCCTACCCTTTCTTCTCCCTGGTCACAGAACCAAGCTCTGTCACTCCTTGGATCACGATATGCACACGTCTGTTGCTATTATTTCTTTGTTTGTGGAAACAAAAGTCCACACACATTTGAGAAGCAGCACTGCCATAGACCCACTTTGATCCCGTAAAGTGTTCCATGTGTCCCTCTTTCACATAGCAATTTTTTCCTTTGCCAGGTTCTTTGGTTCCTTGCTTGGGATACACCAGTCGTCTGCTTCAGAACTCATCTGATAATGTTTAAAGGCTGACTTGTTAAAGACAGGGAGTTTTTCTACAGACTCGGAAGATAAAGCCTAAAAGAAGAGGAGGAAAACATTGAAATAAAGAAATTATGTATGGTTGGACTTGGTTATTCAAAATATACTAGCAGGTATGATTTAATATTGAAATACATTCATTTAATTGACTTTGTAGTGACAGTGTACCAAACCCATGGTATTCCAGGTTCTTTATGAAACAAGACTAAAACATAAAGACATATTATCTCTATTCAATGAGAACTGAAATAGTAGATATGAGATTTATAAATTAGGGAACAGAATTTATATTCAGTGTTTTTACATGACCTTTGAGTACCACGGATATGATGGGGTTGAGTAGCAAAGCAATTTCTTCCAGAGATAAACCTGTATATGATAAAGTTAGAAACCTAGTCTGATACTATTAATTTATTAAAATGCTCTTTCCCAATAGTTTGAACACTCTCCTGTATTTCAGAAATGAATACATTAAGTATTTCAGTCATTCAAAGGCCACTTGCCATTTAATCCCAATGGGCAAATTGGAAGCCTAGAAACTTATTGTTGTAGTTGCTACTATCTGTAAATATACTTTCAGTTGGAATAGTTGGAAAATGATGAACAGAATTGGGATTTTGATCTTAACAAATAAATTCAGACTTCACCAAAGATAGAAAAACATGTACCAAGTTTTAAAATTTAAGCTGGAAATGCCTGGCACACACTGACAACTTGTGAGCAATTTAATTTCCTTTCTCTGGGTTTCTAATAAGGTCAGCTGAAGGTCATGAAGGTTGTGATTTTTGTGACTTTTAAGATTTAATGTCACCAGCATGTATTATCACAAGGCTAAGAAAAACAGAGCTATAACTACTCTCACAGATGTCAAGAGGCATCATCTGAAGAAATTCGCATCTGCATACTGTCACTCTGAAGCCTAATCTACTTCTTGCTCAACAATTTTGCCTCAGTTGAGGCAGTAGCATGGCTTAGCTTTCTCTTGGGTAAGCTGCCATATTAAACATGGTATGCACACACTAAAACAGAAACAAAAACAGCCATTATTTACACTAAGTCATTTTGAGGAATTCACTGTGGACCATAGAACTCAGAGGTATAAAAGAAGAAGCCATCACTTTTAAAACATGGTTTTCAGTATAAATTCAAAGGGTACCTTTAAGTAAATGATAGCATCTGTTCCATAGCCTGACATAGAGTAGAGATTCAGATCTCCTTGAAAATATTTGGCATAGAGACGAGAAATTGGCAAGCCATAACCAAAACCAGCCTGGAAGGGGAAGAGAAGTGTTAGTGAAGAATAGATATGATCTTTAGCATAGAAAATGTAGGAAGGAGCTATGATCTTCACAGATACTGGTATTCAAGGACCTACATAAATATCATCTGCTTCCAGTCAGAGGTCCTTGTAGGACCCCTGCACCACATTTGGCTAGCTTTTTCATTCTTTCTTATATCCCCTCATTTCTATTTAACTAAATTGATTAACGTGCTCAAATACTTCCTTATAATCCTCATTCTACATTTAGAACTAGGTGGCTGAGGTGAATTTAGATGTAACATTTGGCCTCACCAAAGGAGCATGCCGGGAATTGTCCATCACAGGTGTTGGCGCAGTGGAGTAAGTGTAACTAAAGAGGCGGTCAGTAATCCTTAGAGGAACACCGCCTCCTCGGTCGGAAATCTGAAACAAGCAAACAAAACAGTTGTCAGAGCTACACTCGAACACCTACGTGCACCGGTGTATAGAGAAAGGTCTTTACTTCGTTTAAAAGTCGTCTGGTACACGTGGCTTTGATCAGTTACCCCAAACTAAGAGCCATATTAACACAGGCCCTTTATAGAAATTCTCTCCAGAGAGAACTAAAAGAAAAGCAGAGAAGGGTTACCTTGATCGTAAGGTCTTCTTTTCCCAAGACGACAGTTGCCTCAATTGGTGTCAGGGAAGGGCAATTTTCCTGATGCTCAACGGTTGCCCTCATGGCGTTCTAAAGACAACAAAACCAGGAGGATTTCAATGGTAGAAGAATGAGGGGCAATATATGACAGGTTTTATGTTTAAAATAAAAGCGGCACAGAGGGCAATTCAAAGTTTCCATTTTTTTAGTGAGTGCTAAAACAGCTCTGTAAATAGCCATTTATGAAAGTGTCATGCAAAATGTATAATGAAAAATCTTCATTTACCATGGAATATTGCTCCTGGGAGTAGTGTCTAATGGAAAAACAATTCTGCTAGCTGTCAAATTCTTATTTGTAAGCTTAATTTAAATGTAGAAATTGGTTTTTATAGTTCATTTCCTAGCTCCTTTTTTTTCTGTCTTCCCATTACATTTTATATCCAAACACCAAAGACTATTACATAAGAAATGAACAGTGAATCATTGAACCAATTTATTGGCTTTTATAAAATTTGCTGCAAAAAGGTTGTTACTATTTAAAAGGACAGTCGATACTTCTAAATTAAATTTCAATTTGCATTTGAATATCTTAACTTTTACCAGTGATGGCAAAATAACCCTATGAGTTAGGTTATTCAATTAAAAACAAACCAAATCAATGAAAAAGCATCCCTTTTTCTTAATGCAGAATAAACTAAAACAAGTTTTCAGCTTACTGGCTAAATGTTTTCTGAATAAAGTCTTGGGTTATTTAATCCATTTTCTTCTCTTACTCTCCTTTGGAATCTATGTTTAACGATATTAAGGTCTAGTCAGTAACTGAAGTGAAAAAGATCAGATGTTTGTAGTTTATCAATACCTCACTGCAATAATATTAGAAAAAACTGGGAAAACTGGAGCTATACCAGTATCACAGGTGGATTTTGTTTTTTTAAGACTTTCTTTTCTCAATCTAGGGTATGCTTGAAAAGCACTGTAAAATTTCAGGTGTTTTCTATTTTATGGTTTAAGTTCAGAGTGTTAGTATAATGTTAGAACTCATGAAAGGGCTTGTTCCTAGCATCTGGTTATTCTAGAACAGAGACACTCAAATCCTCAGAGTGCTAGAAAAGCAAACTGTCAGAGCTATAGGCTCTAAATCTCTCCACACATCTGTGTTTCATCAAGGTCCATAGAAGATTCTAGTTCACACTAATGTCTGAGAAGCAGGGTCCTGAAGGCTGGTTAAGGTAAGTGCTGACTGTGGACAAATAGCATGTCCTTGGAAATATAGAATTACAGATCCTACCTTAGACCTATATCAGATTTGGTCTTTTAACAGAGTCCCCACTTGATTCATATGCATGCTGAAGTGCCTTAGTGGAGGAAATGATTATTCTAGACTCAGAATGTGGACATACTACTTATGGTGAGTGGACCTGTGACTCAAGTCTGGAGCTGGACTAGTCCATGGTGTGGTTGTTACAAGGCCTCATTCCCTAAGACATCCACCCATTAATGAATAAATGATGGAAGATCCCTCTCCACTCTAAAGCACTGAGATATCATGAATACATGCTGTGTTGAAATAAGCTGTGTGCTCTTTTTAAAACATTGGCTGTAGAGTTTCTTTCTATTAAGAGCACCAATATATTCTTGGGAGAATATATGGAGGCCCTTATTTAGTGGGGAATGATAAAAATATAGGCAGTTAACTATTTAAAGACAAACCCCCAGTTACTGTGAAGTGTCTTACCTTGAACAGTTCGAACAGCATATGATGAAGGTGGGAGGGAACATACACGATATGAATTGGCTGGCCTGGAAATTTCCCTAAAAAATTAAACTCCTTTAGAATGGAGAAATAAATATTTGCTGAAACAAACTTCCATATCTATTTGCTTAATGTTTGAGTTTTAGCCAAGATTGGGATAATGCTTATTTTCCTCACCTGAAACGTCTGGTCTAGGGCATTCATTTTTAAACAGTAAGGACAACTGGCTAATTTTCAAAATGCTATTCCAGTTGCTGCCTAGTGTTCTATGATTAAACTTTTCATTTCTCTACAAATGTATATGGTTGACTGAAGTGTGAGGTGACAGCATAAGTTAGGACACAGACTGTTTCTATTTTCATCATGTTAAAACTAGACAATTTCAGTGTTAAAATTATATGCATTTGAAGATGGAAAAAATAATTGTGCTTATAGTATAACATTGACATTAATGCCAACTATGATTTTCATCTTTTTATGTGTCTGAGTTTTCTATCACTCAAACATTAAATCTTAGCTAATTATGTTTAAAATTCACCAACAGTGTAAAGAAAAGAGAGAAACAAAAACCTCATAATATTGTTAGAAAAGAAAAATAAAAGAATTATTCTTTGGATGTTCCAGGCCTTGGAAAAATTTGAATCAGTAAATACAAGGTCTAGTACAATCCTGCCTTTATTTTATCAGACAATTCAAGCAATTTATCTGCAAGCGTTATACAATGCTGGCTACTTTTATATATTTTAAGTCATTAGTTGCACTGCTACTATTATTTGAGCATTCATTTTCATTTGCACGTCCCCAAGTCTAAGAGTAGGTTTACGCTTAAATTGAGTAACTGTCAGTCTTGCCACTAATAAAGCTGTTACTATGTAAATTTTACTTGGAAAAAAATGTATGCTTATAACGGAAAGGAGAGGATTATCTCAATTTAAGTTTATTGCTTTGATCTGAGAAGCAACTGTCTTCCAATACAGAAGGGAAAAGGATAGAAACAGTGCCTTGCGTTGGTCATGTAATCAATTCACCACGGGAAGACCTGGTCTCATCAGATACTCCAGAGCTGAAGCTTTTAAAGTATGTTCTATTTCCAAATGGTAATATAGACTTTTAGTATTCTTTTTATTGTAGTAAGAGCATTCCACATGAGTTCTACACTTCACAGATCTTTAAGTGTATAATACAGTATTTTTAACTATACATATTGTTCTGTATGCCAGATCTCTAGAATTTATTCACCTTACATAGCTGAAAATTTATACTAATTGAAAAGCAACCCCCACCTGTTCCTCCTCAGCTCTTGGTAAGCACCACTGTAATCTCCATTTCTGTGACTGATTAATTGGGTATCTCATAGGACCCAGCAATATTTGTCATTCTGTGTCTGCCTTATTAATAAGGACAATTTATGAAGTATTTTTGTTTCCAGGTCTTGTGAGTAACTTTTCTAGAAGGTTATCTGCAATGATAATTGTTCTACTACAAATCTTATTCCTCATATTATTCTGCTGTTTTTTATTTTATTTTATTTTATTTTACTTTACTTATTTTATTTTACTTTATTTTATTTTATTTTATTTATTTTGAGACAGGGTCTTATATAGCCCAGGCTGGCCTGGAGCTTGCTATATAGCAAGACCTTGAATTCTTTCACTTCCCAAGTGCTGAGACTATAGCCTGTGCCTTCACACCTGGAGTCTGCCTTTCATAGTCTAGAGTAAGCAGTCTTCCCTTGATCTCAGATAATGGAATCTAGGTACTTCTCTGTCCAAACATTCTTCCTTATGAATTGTCATTAGCAACTGAATATGCACAATGGGAACTTTCCAGCTGAGACAGAAGTTTGACTTTTAAAATATCAATGTCTTTGTACAAATTCTAAGCGAGTAGAGGAAAAAAAATCTAATAAATAGAATAAAGCAAAAGCTGTTTTGTGTTTACAAAAAAAAGTAATATTAGATTTTCCAGGTTTCAGTATATCTTGTTGATAGCTTACCATTTACTTGTGTGAGCTTTAACTCTGGAGCTGTTAAATAATACTGATCACAGAGCATCTTTGAGCACTCAAAGGCATCTGGAACAGAAGTTTTTCATAAAAATGAAATAAACTTAAGCCAACTACATTTCTTCAATGTGTTTACTATATGTGTGAAAATATCTTTTTAATATTTTATTAAAGAATAATATTTTATTGAAGCTGTAGCAAAATAAATACATGCACCACAGAGATCAAATATTCTGTATGAGTATGGCACATGGGCCACTTATGTTTAAATTTTTATGATAATATAAATGAATGTTTACATTCCCCATGCTCAAACATGAAAGGTTTTGATGGCACTATTCATAAATATAAACAGTACACAGTGCACATAAATTCATTCACAGAGTCCCCTACATTATGGGTATGCTAGCCATGTATTATACATTTTCAATAAGAGAAATGCAGAAGCCTAGAAATTACCTTGGACCACTGCTACCACATCACACGTTGGGTCGATGCTTCCAATGTGGCTTGGGTTTCCTGTCTTTGAATCACTGAATATAAGAACTGTTGAAAAATAAAAACAAAAGCATGTTATAAAAATTCAGATGATGATTAGAACTACCATTGAGAAAGACTGAATGCCACATGGTGGGATGTGCAGTCCCAGGGTGGCTTAGGCTCTACTCTCACGTACCCAGCCCACAGTGCTGAGGAGCTCACTTACTGTGCTGGTTCATCAGCATCCGTGTAGAAATGCGGTTCATGTAAAACCGGTCCAAAAAATACTGGAGATTTTGATTGGTGACTGGGTCAACTGTACAGGAATCTTTATACTCGATGATTCCTTGTGCCATAGTAGGGACCACATTGTGATGTCTGTTTCGAACTTTAATGAGTGTATCTACAAAGCTAAGCCAGAACATTTGCAGTTAGTGAAAGTTAACTTTCATACTGTCTTTTCCTTATGTTGCTTCACAGAAAGCTAACGTTTTTAGCAATACCAGGCTCAGTCACTGCTTTTTTTTTTTTTTTTTTTAAAGACTCTTCCTTGCTATACATTCTTGTACTATGATGGAAGAGACAGTTTCATGACTAAATTTATTTCATTTCTAGGTTACATGTAAAACTACTCATCTGTAACTGGTACATTCATTATAGGTGTTCTTCAAGCCCCTTTGCTAGAAAATAATTAAAATCAAAGGTGATTCTACAATGTCATTGTGAAAAAAAACAACAAAACTTCTTGTCAGATTTAAAAATGACTGCTATTTGGCTAATTAAAAATTGCCACTCTGAAAGAAAATGTATAATCTTGCATGACCCTGAAATCCATCAAGAATATCCAGCAACAATAAGCTCTCTTGCAAATTTAATCACTGGACTAAATTTATAGTAAAAATCGAATTCCTTGGAAAGCAAAAAATTCAAGTCTTCCATGTTTGTTCACATCTAGTATTCATTTCAATATCATATTTCTTCACTTCTAGAAGCTGGACAAACTAAAAGCTATCATTTTCTGGGGGGGGGCAGTGGTTTTTTGTGAAAGGTTGAAGCATCTTTAATTTAGGCTTAAAAAAGACTTGAGGAATGTGCTCAGAAACAGCCAGGGCTTTAAACATGCATTCTAATGTGCAGAGCTTACTCTGATAGAACTTTTTGGTCTTCTGGGTTTTTCTCATGGAACTCCACCAAATCCATCAGGCTCTGGATATACCTGTTAAGTGAGAAGGTTTGAAATTAATGTCAGATGCAAATGGTTGTAAACAATATGCCTTTTTTAAATGACTGGAAAGGGAAAACAACTATTACACTTAAAATTGGAGCTCTCCTTCAGGAAATTCAGAAAATGACATGTTAAAAATTTAAAAGCTATAATTTTCAATCCTCTACTTTCCTGACCATTTTGTGTGGCAAATGTCTCCATTTCTTATAGCAAACACACTCAGAAACAACTTTTAAAGGGAAGTTTCTTATTTTTCCCTACTATATTCTTCTGTGGGAGAGTAGAGGTCTTGACAGTAGCAGTGGGCCTCACAGGCTGAGCACAGGACTCAGAAGGGAATTGTCCTACAGGCATACAATAAGTATGCTTCTTCGATCAGTGATCAGGAAGCTGTGCAGTCAATGGGTTAGGGTAGGGTCTTCTACATGTCGACCACTGGCTGTAGCCTGTATCTGCCCTCTAAAAATCTGCTTTTATCATCTGTTTTTTCCTAGGCATCACTTTTCTTATTTTTAACGTTAGTGCTGCCTATGTTGCTTAGTGCCATTTTAAGTCTTTTTCTCTTTTTTTTCTTTTTAAAGAATTACATCATGTAACTATATGCAGACATCCCTCAGAGGCATATACTTTACTGTCCTAACAGATGGGGTAAATGTGTGGCAAAGATTTTCCACTGAGAGAGGGGCAAAGGTACAATTTGAACCCAGAGCTCATTTTGTTAGTTGTTAAGGAACAAAAATTAGACCTTTCCTAAATAGTAGTCATGTCAATCTATTTCTAGGCAAAGGATTTCTTTTGCAATCCCACCTTCCATTTTTATTATGTAAAGTACAAATTCAAACTACCTATGTTGCTTATTTTTCAAACTTTTCCCACAAGGCAAAATTATATTGTAAAAGGAGCTGGACATAGTGGCACATGCCTATAATCCTAGCACTTGGGAGGTGGAGGCAGGAGGATCAGGAGTTCAGGGTCATCCTAGACTATGTAGGGAGTTCCAGATAGCCTGTGCTTCATGAGATCCTGTCTTGAAAAACAAACAAGGGGGAAAAAAGCAAAGGAATACATATATTTTAGGAGATTAAGTCTTTTCATAGCTTTATAACTATCCTAAAGATAACTTACCCTGAGTTAATAAAAAGATTATTAAGAATTTTAAGTCATTTTCTGTTCAGACCACCTGTATGATGCTGTATGTGTTTTAAAGCTGGAGGCTTCAAAATGGTGAGCTACTTTACTTACCAGCTCCGAACTAGCTGTACGGAGGAAGTGTTTACTAAAGGGACAGGGAGGATGTCAATTTCTTTCAGGATATTGGCTAGCCTCACAGGCAATTCTTGTCGTAGAAATGAAAAAGAAGTTCTTTCACATGCATTGTCTGAACCTATAATAAATGGCACACAATCAGTTTTTGGAAAAAGATGTAATCAAACAAATCAAAAAAGAAATATCAGTTATTGAGGACACATATATAATAAAATGGTTTCTCACTCACAGTTATTCACAGTGATAATAGATAATTCCAGAACAAGTATCTTTATTGACATATTTTCCTGTTTATTCTTTTTTTTTAAATTGACCAATATAAGAGGATTATTGTTTGCTTGTTTGTTTTTCCTTTTTGAGGAGGATTTACTCTGAAAAAAACCCTAACATCCCACAACTCTTCCTACTGAGGAGAGCAGGGTCAGTCAACACCACCACATCCTTTAATGAGTGTGGACAGGAAATGCGATGGGGAGAAGAAGGTAGAATGGGAATTCTGGGGTTTCCAAACTAGCAATAAATAACTTTGAAACTCTCCTTATGACATCACTGCAGTTACTGCGTCAACTGTTTCAGCAGTAATGTGAATACTGGGAAAAAAAATAGTAAAACGACAAAGAAGTCTGTTAGCCTTCTAATCTGTGGAGGGGAAAGAGGGGCTAAGGAACAGAAATCTATCAAACTGAGGTGACTTTGTTTTATCAGGTACCACGTTGTGAAGAAGGGGGAAAGTTCCCAGCCCATTGTTAAGTGATGAGTTAATAAAGCAAATCAATTCTGAACTCTAAGAAGAGAGAAGAGGGAAGTTGGGCCTAAAGCTGATCATCTGTAGGGTTGCAGGTGGCCTGGACTTGTGGAATAAAGTGTCAGAAAGTATCCAAACTAGGAAAACGCAAAGTGAACAGAGGTTGATGCTCCTGGCCTAGGGGGCTAAGTGGACCTCAGTCTTCCCAGCCCGGAGCCCAGTCCTTCCTATCCCAGGGCCTCCTCAGTCCTAGTGCACCCTCCTGTGTCCCCTTCTTACCAAAGTCCAGCAACTGCTTTATGGACAACGGGGACGGGCTGTAGCGGGAGAACAGCTCGACCTCCCTGGGTACCAGACCGCTGCTCAGCGAGCTCGCACTGCGCAGCACGAAGCGGGCCGCCTTCATCCTGACGCCCACCGAGGCTGATCCGGGGCTGGGACCTGCTGGACCGAGAGGGCTGCGGGGCGAGATCCGGGCGGAGCGGGGAGCAGCGCGCGGCCGGGCGGGAGCAGATGCTCGGTGAGCTCGGGGTCCTCTAGGCTAGTGACTCGGAGGTGCTGTGGTGGACACTAGCACCCTCCCACCTCCCGCTGCCTTTTATCTGCCTCCCCGCCCTCTTCCCGCTACCCCCGCCGGGAGGAGTCACCCGGACTCTGAACTTGTGGCCACGCCAATCAACTCCGAAAGAACTTTGGGTCACGCCCCCCGGCCACGGTCGCCACGGGGGCCTGGCCCGGTGACCACGGAGCGGCCTGGCACTGGTGTCCTGACCTGGGGGGGGGGGGGTCGGTGGCAGGAGGCCAGGAGGAGGAAGCTGAAGCCCGCCTCTGGGGAGAGGTGGGCTCCAGATAGGCCCCCCTGGGGGCTGCCGGCCGCCCAGACTCGTCCTTGTTTACAACTTTGAAGCCGCCTCAATGTCAGGCATTCCACTCCAGAAACTGTTTCCAAGAATCGAGGCTCCAAGCTCATTGGTGCTTGCTCAGAGCGGGACTTATACAGTCGCCAATCAACTGTGAACAAAAGTATGGGCTTCCCTGCCATTGGACGGCTAAAGGAAAGATCAACCTAAAGGGTTTTCCCCACACTTCTTCCCAGCCAAGAGCACTCTGAAGGAACTGGATGTTCCTTCTGCTTTGAGTTTAGGAACTGCCGAGTAGATATTTTTTCTACTGGTGAAAAAGGACCGCCAATTCGTGTTCTCCTGTGCCACTTTGTTAGAGTTACTTACACCTATTAATTAAAAGCAAAATAAAAAGGGCATCAGTTGTCAGTTTGACTCACTTTATTTTTCTCCCATCAGAGACAGTCCACCTTTTTTGTTTAAGGCACTCTAGCCTGCCCTTAAATGCCCCACACATAATCTGTCCTAAAAGATTGTCTGCCTGCTTCGTTGCTTCTCTGTTCTCCTTTCAATAAGGCCTTTGCCATCCATAAGATTATAGTACATTGTAGTCATCTAGCATCCATCCTTGACACTGTGTTCCTAAAAGAGACCAGAGCTGTGTCTGATGTTTTGTGATTCCTACCTTGCTGTGTCACTCCTGTCAACATTTGTTTAGTTAATGGCAGTTGTTGAAACACATTACCCTGTCATAAAACTCTCATCCTAGCCTCTTTTTCCTCTACATCCTCTCGAACAGACTGTAGAATGAAGTCAGTGTTTGGGGAAACTAGTAATAACTTGGTTACAAATGGAATGGAATGGGAATTAATGAGGGTTTAAGCGTTGTTTGTTAGCAAAGGTCCCTTTGCCTTCAGCCCCTGCGTTTAATGAACAGACTGGGTTCTCTGGAAGGCATGGGTAACCCTAGGATGAAGTCCCTCTTTGCCTTTCCCCTCTAGATCTGTCACAGGACTGGTTTCCAATTTCTATCTCTAGTGCAAAATTTCCCAGAAAAGCCAGACTCCTGAGTTCAACTGCTTATTTGATTGTCTATTTGGATGTCTAGTATCAGTATTTTTCTAATTTGTCACCATTACAGGGTGTCTGAGCTCCCCCCAAACTCTGTTACTTGGTTATCTGGTAGAGTTACCATATTAGCTTTGCTCCCATCTGTCCCTCTGTCTGTCCATTGCTTATAAACTCCAGGATTTATGACTCACTTTGTGCTCAAATATTTTGCTCAGATCTCTGAGAAACAGCCCTATGAAGATGTTCAACACTCATAATCTTCCAGTGATGAGGGCGTGGTGTGGGTTCTTAGAGAGCTATAATTCTGGAATGAATGAAAAAAACTTCAGCAACTGCACTTTGGTGAGAAAGAAAAAGAAAATAATCTAAACTAAATACAACTTAAAACACAGCAGCTCAAGCACTTAGCTTAAGCTAAAACGGTTTCAAATAGCATTTGAACATAAGAGCCACCAGAATTCATATTTTATACTTGAAATATTTTATTTAATACTTAAAAAGCTCTATGAAGCAAGGACGTGTGTTCAAGAAGTAAAAAACTAAGTAATACTCTCTTTGAGAAAGCAAGTGAACTTAAGGTAAAAGTCTTCTTTCTTCACTGGATTACATCCTAAGGACAGAAATATAGGTATGTGTTCAAGTTTCTTATCATGTATGAGGTAAGCATTAGCAAAATTTATACTACAAAGGGTGATATTCTAATCTGCAGAGGGAAGGAAATTATGTCGGTCTCATTTAGGTAGAAATTCCCCTTTCCTTAAGTCCATTAGGTGCTCAGCCTTATTTACCCTATTGTGGGATGATTAAAGATCAGATGGAGTCATATGATGCTCACAGAGATGACTAAAGTCTAAGTGTGAACCCAGGTCACCAGAATTTTGTTGCCATATTATCCCATACAATAATATTTCCCAGGCTACTCTCAGCACACAGTATTCTTCCATGTCACTTCTGTATAATGGTAACTGATGCTATTATTGGCAGCACTGGTGGTGGTTGAGCTGGAATGGTCAGGTCAGGCTTTTACCCAGTTGGCAAATGTGCCATGTGTTACCATGATTAGAGAGTGGCCTGGGAAGAGTCATTATTCTATCCTCAGGTTGACCATGGATCTTGGAGGGGATTCAGTTGAGGCAAAGGTGAAGCAAAAAGATTATTTGGGAACCACAGGTCTGAACCAATTCATACTCATTCATCCACACTGCCCTTTTGTAGATCCTGCTAGCTACAACATTCCTGCTTCAATCACAGAATTCTTGGTGTCTTCAGATGTACTTTCACCTACATTAAAGTACTCTGTACCATGTGTCTGGCAAATCTTAACAAAGCGGCCAGTAGGGCTTTGAGAATGCAGGCCACACTTTGGCCAGAGGGTCAGGGTTGCAATTTGACAAAATGTATCAGAACCCTTGAAGAGAAGCCTACTCATTTCTTCCCACTCTAGGAAGGTATTCAAGGAAGCAATGAAATATATACATAACAGGAACTCCAAAGCCATGATGGAAAAGTTAACAGATTGGACCACAGAATATTTAAAGTTAAAAGATGATCATCAAATTTATAGAAAATATTTACAAAATATGTCAGATGAAGGATTATTTTAGAAATGGATGCTTCAGTAGGATCAAAGCAATCCTGATTTGTTCCCTTATGGAGACTGTAGACTTGGGTGGCAGAAATAGGCATTGCCAAAACAAATGGATCCTGGGCCTGTACATTAAGTTAGGTCAAGAGCTATAAAGAAAATGCCCATGAAGAACATAATGGTTAGAACAACCTTGGGCATGGGGGTCAGGGATAGTGTCCTTGAGGGAATGACAGCTGAATGAGATGGAGTATCTGTCGGTTGGGGGTGACAGGGATTGCTAGCAAAAGCATACTGGTGAAGATAATTGGGGAAAGCAAGACCCAAACCACTACTTGGTCTCTAATGTTTCTCCCAATTGTTGATCACTTAGAGGACAGTAGGCACCAGGGGCTGAATTAGGTGTCTTGGTGGATGTAAGTACCCCAGACTCAAAGTGAATGATAGAAAACAATGGTCAATTATTTTTAAATTTGTGAGAATTTCATTTAATCCCCAGTGCAAACACTGTAATTAAAACGGCATCCCATAAGAAAGATTACATCAATATGTGGATGGGCTGTGATAGCAATGGAGCCAGACTGTGGCAAAGCTATTGGTGCCAAAGGGCATTTGGAGAAAGGACTAGGTTGGTGGTCAGGGACTTCTGCTTCTGAGAAATGGCATTGACATGATCTTAGAAAGATGAGTTAGACTTTAGCAAATGATTGGTGGGTAATGAAGAAGAATGTCTATGTCTTGATAAGCCACAGGTATTGGCACTGCAGGTATAAAGAGAATTAATGGCTACTTTAGTCTGCCTACTGCCTAGAGCATCCTGTGAGAACAGGAAATGGGAAATTGTACTGACTGCTCAAATTCATTAACAGCTCTACAATTGAATTCAACTAAATGTTACCGAATACCTGCCATGGATCAGGTATAAAAGATACTAGGGCTATAAAGATGAAAAAGATAGTTGGAGAGATGGCTCAGTGGTTAAGAGCACTGACTGCTCTTGCAGAGGACCTGGGTTTGAGTCCCAGCACCCACATGGCAGCTATGAACCATCCTTAACTCCATTTCCAGGGGAATCCGAAGCCCTCTTCTGACCTCCACAGCATTGCAGGACATGGTTGTACTCACATACCTGCAGGCAATACACATACACATAAAATAAAAATAATAAATAAAATATTCAAAAAAATGAAAAGACACAGTTCCTACCTACAAGGATGGTAGAAAGACATATCAGTGATCTCAACACAAAAATGTAATGCACATCAGGTGTGTGTCTGGGTGTGGGGCAGTCAAGGAAGACATATTTGGAGAATATGACATGTCATGAGGGTTATGAAGGTTGAACAGATCATAGACAGGCGAAACAAAGGGTATTGGGGAACTGAGGATGGGGAAATATAAGGAACCACTGTATTTGTAGGATTTTGGGACTTTATCAAATGCAGGAATGAAGAATCTATTTTTTTTTAAGTTGCCTGTTGTTCTAAGTCTGTACTACCAAGAGGAAATGTTTACATTAGTGAAATCAGGGAAGTTGGTAGAGTCAGGGGGAAGGGATAGGATGACTGCAGAGACTGTTCAAGTGTTAAGTTTGTTGGGGAACATGTTTGTTAATGAGAAACTGTGGGAGCATCCTGAGTACCAGTGAAGGGAAGATCTGCTGTTAGATGCCACTGACCTACTGCTGAGAAGTGACAATGGCAGGTTAGATTCCTTATTCAAGGTTCTCTCTGTTCTCTCTCTACTGTAGTTCCCTCCCTCCCTCTTATTCCTTGTGCCTTCTGGATCAGTCTTTGGTTTCATTCTTGGCTTTCTTATAATGATCAAGGCCAAAATCTTTCACTTCACTAAAGCAACATCACAGAGAAGCCATTTCATGCTTCCTCTTCCTGCCCTTGTGACTCCAGTGCTTCCAGTAAAAAAAAAAAGAAAAAAGAAAGAAAGAAAGAAAGAAAGAAAAGAAAGAAAGGGGCTGAATCTGAAAGTACTTGAGTTTATTTTGTAGGAAGACCACAAGAAATTTTGTCTTATTCAAAGGTTTATTATTCATATTCCTTCAAGAAATTTTCCAATTATATTTGATGTTTACTTTTATGAGACAAAAAGGTGAGCAAAGGAA